CAGAAAAGAAGATTAAGGAGACGATGAACCCCAGTAGTGGGGCCCAGTATTCAGCATTAAAAATTTCTTACCAACCCTTTTCGCAAAGATGGGGAAAGGGCACCCCCTAACACTGACATGTGACGCAACTCTGCGCAGCCTTAAATCGATTCATCTTCAACCAAATATTGGGAAAAATGGGATGTTGTCTGTCCATTTTTTTTCTATAATCTTGTTGTGTTTCCAGTGAAACATGTTTTATTATCAATGCTTCTCTCAGCTTTACTCTTTTAGATAAAAATGCAATACAATACAAGCAAACCCTTTGGGAAAAAAAAAACCCAAAAATGAGTAAAATGAAAAAATAACATTTTTTAAAACTTCACACAGAAGGCTAACTCTTCCCCCAAATTATGCATTTTAAAATGTTATGACTAATTAAGGAGTTTCTCTTCAAATCACTTAAAATGCACCAAATACATTCAGAACAACTTTTGCTGTTTAAAATATTGAATAATGCAATATATTCAATTCTGGGTTTGCCGGGCTTTATCCTGGAATGGGAAGTACAATGCCTCACTTTAAAGGAGGGGTTTGGGAATTTTTGGGAAATTTAAGGGGCTTCTAAACTTCGATATGACACCTCTGCAAAAACAGGGTTATGAAAGGGGGTGAAAAATGTTGATTGAGAGAAAAACTTTTATTTTTTTTCCCCCCCCCCCCCCCCCCCCCCCCCCCCCCCCCCCCTTTAAAATCTTCTTTTTGGGGCAAATCGGTTAATGCCACTAAAAGCAAAAAAAAAATCCTTAAATTTTAAAATTCACTTTCCCCCACAGGGGCAAAAAAACCCCCTAACCATTTCCCCAATCCTTTTACAAATAAAAACCCTGTCCCCCTCCAAAGCCCCAAATCCCAAAATCATGTTATTCACTTCCCTACCTTATATATTTTTTTGATTTATTTTTACCCTCCTCGGGGGGAAAAGGCTGACATTAAAAAAAAAAAAATACCCCTTTTATATTTTTTAGTTGCAATTTTTTTACATTAATTTTGCACAAATTAATCACATTTTATAACAAAAACTAAAATCATCCACACAATAGATTTCCACAACATCAAAACAGTATTAACAAAAAATAGATGGTTCGCCCTTTCCCCTAACTACCTACTCTTCATATTCTTCAACTTTTTAGCACATTAGTGAACTTTTCCCTAGCTTACCACCAAAGTAAAACGTCAATTAAAATTTAAATGTACACATCTTGTAATGTACGAGTTTATAATTTTAATTACAAACACAAAAGATAGTACAGATAGTGGGTTGGAAAGCAGCAACCACCAGGGGGGATCCGTCCTCCAAAGTGAGGAAAAACGAAAGCCTGAAATTTGTTTTAATAGGGTAGGTTTGCGATTCTTTTGTCTGTTCATAATAGCAAGTTACAGGCTGTTTGCTACTTCACTTACACTTAGGTCACACTCCATCATATACACATTTATCATACACACTCATCTGAGTTTTTTTGATTTTATCTTAATATTTTTGGGTTTTTTTTTTTCCCTTTTTATACCCCAGGGGGAAGTGGAAAAAGAATTTTTCCTCCGTAAGCCAGCGTGTTAAAAGTCACTAAAATGCCGGGAACAATGGGTAGTAACCCCTTTTCCTGTAAAGATTATAAAAAAATAAGAAGAAGAAAATTGTCAAAGGGGAAGTCTGAATGTCGTGGATTTGTGCAATGTAAGAAAAAGATGATTGTGGATGTTATGAATGAGAAAAAGCGGATGTCCTGGCTTTAAATGAAACAAAGCTGAAGGGGGTGGGAGAGTTTTTAAGGAAAGGAAAAAATGGGGTTAGGTAGGGGGTTCAAAAAGGTTAGAGCTAAAAAGGATAGCAATAATGTTGAAGGGAAAACTATGGCAGGAAAAGAGGGACTATAAATGTATTAATTCAAGGATTATGTGGAGTAAAATAAAGATTGGATGTGAAAAGTGGGTTATAATAAGCGTGTATGCCCCTGGAGAAGAGAGAAGTGTAGAGGAGAGAGAGAGATTTTGGGAAATGTTGAGTAAAATGCGTGGGGAGTTTTGACTCAAGTGTGAGAGTAATGGTGGTTGGGGATTTCAATGCAAAAGTGGGTAAAAAATGTTATGGAGGGAGTAGTAGGTAAATTTGGGGTGCCAGGGGTAAATGTAAATGGGGAGCCTTTAATGAGCTATTGTGTAGAAAGAAATTTGGTAATAAGTAATACATATTTTATGAAAAAGAGGATAAATAAATATACAAGGTATGATGTAGCACGTAATGAAAGTAGTTTATTAGATTATGTATTGGTGGATAAAAGGTGATGGGTAGGCTCCAGGATGTACATGTTTATAGAGGGGAAAACTGATATATCGGATCATTATTTAGTTGTAGCTACAGTTAGAGTAAGAGGTAGATGGGAAAAGAGGAAGGTGGCAACAACAAGTAAGAGGGAGGTGAAAATGTAAAACTAAGGGAGGAGAAGTTCGGGCGAGATATAAGCGATATTGCAGAAAGGTGGGATAGTGCAAAAGATGAGTAATGGGGGGTTGAAGAGGGTTGGAATAGTTTAAAAATGCAGTATTTTGAATGTGGGGCAGAAGTTTGTGGTTATAGGAGGGGGGGTGCAGGAGGAAAGAGGAGTGATTGGTGGAATGATGAAGTAAAGGGTGTGATAAAAGAGAAAAAGGGACTTAAAGAGAGGTTTTTACAAAGCAGAAGTGTTATAAGAAGAGCAGAAATATATGGAGAGTAAAAAAAAGGTAAAGAGAGTGGTGAGAGAGTGCAAAAGGAGAGCAGATGATAGAGTGGGAGAGGCACCTGTCAAGAAATTTTAATGAAAATAAGAAAAAATTTTGGAGTGAGTTAAACAAGTTAAGAAAGCCAAGGGAAAATATGGATTTGTCAGTTAAAAACAGAGTAGGGGAGTTAGTAGATGGGGAGATGGAGGTATTAGGTAGATGGCGAGAATATTTTGAGGAACTTTTAAATGTTAAGGAAGAAACAGAGGCAGTAATTTCATGCACTGGTCAGGGAGGTATACCATCTTTTAGGAGTGAAGAAGAGCAGAATGTAAGTGTGGGGGAGGTACGTGAGGCATTACGTAAATGAAAGGGGTAAAGCAGCTGGTACTGATGGATAAATGACAGAAATGTTAAAAGCAGGGGGGGATATAGTGTTGGAGTGGTTGGTACTTTTGTTCAATAAGTATGAAAGAGGGGAAGGTACCTAGGGATTGGCGGAGAGCATGTATAGTCCCTTTATAAAGGGAAAGGGGACAAAAGAGACTGTAAAAATTATGAGGAATAAGCTTACTGAGTAAACCGGAAAAGTGTACGGTAGGGTTAAATGAAAGAATTAGGGGTTTAAGACAGAATGTAGGATTGCGGATGAGCAAGGAGGTTTCAGAGTGGGTAGGGGATGTGTAGATCAAGTGTTTACATTGAAGCATATATGTGAACAGTATTTAGATAAAGGTAGGGAAGTTTTTATTGCATTTATGGATTTAGAAAAGGCATATGATAGAGTGGATAGAGGAGCAATGTGGCAGATTTGCAATTTATATGGAATAGGTGGTAAGTTATTAAAGCTGTAAAGATTTTTTATGAAGATAGTGAGGCTCAGGTTAGGTGGTGTAGAAGAGAGGGAGACTATTTCCCGGTAAAAGTAGGTCTTAGACAGGGATGTGAAATGTCACCATGGTTGTTTAATATATTTATAGATGGGGTTTTTAAAGGGAAAGTAAATGCTAGGGTGTTTGGGAGAGGGGTGGGATTAAATTAGGGGGAATAAAATTTCCCAAAATGGGAATTGACACAGTTACTTTTTGCTGATGATACTGTGCTTAGGGGAGATTCTAAAAAAAAATTTTGCAAAGGTTAGTGGATGAGTTTGGGAATGTGTTTTAAAGGTGGGAAAGTTGAAAGTGAACAAGAAAAGAGTAAGGTGATGAGGGTGTCAATGTTTTTGATAAAGAAAAATTGGATATCAAATTGGGGAGGAGGAGTATGGAAGAAGTGAATGTTTTCAGATACTTGGGAGTTGTCGTGTCGGCGGATGGATTTATGAAGGATGAGGTTAATCATAGAATTGATGAGGGAAAAAAGGTGAGTGGTGCGTTTAGGTATATGTGGAGTCAAAAACGTTATCTATGGAGGCAAAGAAGGGAATGTATGAAAGTATAGTAGTACCACACTCTTATATGGGTGTGAAGCTTGGGTGGTAAATGCAGCACGGGGAGACGGTTGGAGGCAGTGGAGATGTCCTGTTTAAGGGCAATGTGTGGTGTAAATATTATGCAGAAAATTCGGAGTGTGGAAATTAGGAGAAGGTGTGGAGTTAAAAAAAGTATTAGTCAGAGGGCAGAAGAGGGTTGTTGAGGTGGTTTGGTCATTTAGAGAGAATGGATCAAGTAGAATGACATGGAAAGCATATAAATCTATAGGGGAAGGAAGGCGGGGTAGGGGGCGTCCTCGAAAGGGTTGGAGAGAGGGGTAAAGGAGGTTTTGTGGGTAAGGGGCTTGGACTTCCAGCAAGCGTGCGTGAGCGTGTTAGATAGGAGTGAATGGAGACGAATGGTACTTGGGACCTGACGATCTGTTGGAGTGTGAGCAGGGTAATATTTAGTGAAGGGATTCAGGGAAACCGGTTATTTTCATATAGTCGGACTTGAGTCCTGGAAATGGGAAGTACAATGCCTGCACTTTAAAGGAGGGGTTTGGGATATTGGCAGTTTGGAGGGATATGTTGTGTATCTTTATATGTGTAGGGCTTCTAGACTGTTGTATTCTGAGCACCTCTGCAAAAACAGTGATAATGTGCGAGTGTGGTGAAAGTGTTGAATGATGATGAAAGTATTTTCTTTTTGGGGATTTTCTTTCTTTTTTGGGTCACCCTGCCTCGGTGGGAGACGGCCGACTTGTTGAAAAAAAAAAAAAAAAAAAAAAAAAAAAAAAAAAGATGAAGCATTCTAGATAGGACTTACTCAGCAAACATCACTAACCATTTGACTTCCTGTGAGTGGTGATGTAAATATGACAAGAGACCTGACCACTTCCACATATGTATCAAATCTCCTCCAACATAGACCAAAAGATCATAAGTGGCTTGTAATAATTCCCTGTCTGTTATGCTAGACATCTGCTGTTTCTGTTTCTTCCTCCTCTTTTGAGCTGGCTCATAACATTCTTCTTCTTCTTTCTTTTCAAATGGTGCTGGAGCTTCTTGAAAATAACCAAGGACAAATCTATAAAAGCAAAAATACTCAATTTAAATGTAAATACTAAACAAAATTAACTTGATACATATTTTTTTTCATTATTAATTGTGGTAAACAGAAATTAAAATTCCTGTATGGCATGATTTTGAAAAATAATTTTTATTTTAAAGATTGAAAGAATGAGTTTTCATGAATGAAATAAGACTAAAATGATTGGAATCTGGTAAAAACTTAAAATTTTGTAGTGAGATGAAGTTAGCAAAAAATTATCACTCACCGGTAACAGCGGTGTAAATGCACCAGCAATAATTATGTTTTACAATTTTCAAATAATAATACAGTGGTCCCTCAATAATCATCCATAACCCGTTTCTGGAAGTGGGACTATTATCGAAATAGACGATTTTCGAATCAAATTTTCCCAAAAGAAATAATGTAAATACAATTAATCCGTTCCTAACACCCAGAAGTATTAAAACAAAAAATTTTTTTACATGAAATATAGATGTAGTACATAAACAATACAATGGCACATGATGAATGAAACATTAACAGAATAACACTTACCTTTATTGGCGATTCTTCTTAGTGTATGGAAGACTGGAGGAGGAGAGAGATTGGATTAATTACTGTTTGGAAGGGGAATCCCCTTCCATCAACACCTCAGGTACCAATTGCTTTTCTGGGGTTACTTCTCTTCTCTGTTTCTTAATGCCACTAGGACCAGCTTGAGAGTCACTGGAGTCCTGTCTTGCAAAAAAAAACTGTCCAGAGAGCTCTGTTTCTGGCATCCCTTTAAAACTTCCCTAAAATGGGCCAAGACTCTGTCACTGTGTTCGTCACAATTGAACACTTGTTCAGGTTTCAGTCCTTCAGCCTCTATGTACTCCTTGAATTCCTGCACATATTTTTCAGCCGCTTTTTTATCAGAACTGGCAGCCTCACCATGCCTTATCACACTGTGTATGCCAGTACGCTTCTTAAATCTCTCAAACCAGCCTTTGCTGGCCTTAAATTCACTCACATCACCACTAGTTGCAGGCAATTTCTTTACCAAATTGTCATGCAACTGCCTAGCCTTTTCACAGATAAGCAACGTCATAAGACTATCTCCTGCTAATTGTTTCTCGTTTATCCACACCAATAATAACTTCTCAACATCTTCGAGTACTGGTGATTTCATTTTTGTCAGCATATTTACCCCCTTTGCAACAACAGCGTCCTTGATTTCCTTTTTCTTGGCTATGATGGAAGATATGGTTGTACTGGATTTGTTATACATCCTGGCCAGTTTGCCCACACGTATGCCACTTTCATATTGTTCAATGATGTTTCTCTTAAATTCAATCATATTTCTCACCTTCTTTACCAAAGGCTTGGCACTAGCTTTCTTTGGAGCCATGGTAGCTTATTTAGCACTTGCAAGCACTAAAATCAATGGAATATTATGAAATATTTCGGAGGAGGAAGTGAGGGGACCGTCGCTCACTGGTAAACAATGGCACACTAGCTGGGAAGGCAGGCCCAGGCTGCTCAGAGCGTGAGTATGCGTCCTGGATGAAGGACGATTAGCGAGTTAACAGGCCATTTGCAAGCCAATGTTTAGACGAAATAACGGGACTATTTCCGAAATGGACGACTTTCAGGCTGGACGATTATTGAGGGACCACTGTATCTTTATTTCTACAAGTATATGTACAAGGTATACAGGCCTAGCTAACATCAGTGACATACACTATATAGAAAGCCGCTTGTTATGCTGAGCATTTCAGGCAAATTAGGTCAGTTTTGTCCTAGGATGTGACCCACACCAATCAACTAACACCCAGGTACCCATTTTATACTGATGGGTGAACATGGACAACAGGTGTTTTAAGGAAACATATCCTAATGTCATCTAGCCGTACCAGGGATTCGACTTCCGGACCTCAGTGTGTGAGCTGAGTGTGCTAGCGATCAAGCTTTGGGATAAATGCAATAAATGGCAATAAATTATGTCAGTTTTCAGTTTTTATTGGTTTTAATGTTTAGCACTATGTACAATATTTTTTATATTGTGCATAGCACAATATAGCTCCATATAGCCTGGTTGATCAGGTCCTGATCCACCATGAGGCCTGGTCACAGACTAGGCCGTAGGGGTGTTGACCCCCGAAACCCTCTCCGGGTATCTCCAGGTATTGAAAACACTATAAATTAAAGCAAATAATTTTTTCTACTTTTTTTTTTACTGCTTTGGTCTTGAACATCATGTACAAAGAATACCTATGATATTACAATTGTTTCAAAGTGCAATACTCCATAAAACATAGAAATAAGTTGCATGGTTCGACTATATTGTGTTATCAAGTCTCATTTTAAACCCATTCCAGCGTTCAATTCAATCAAATTTTTAGCTATTTCACTAGCATGCCTTCCATTCTATCGACCAAGCACAAAAAAAGCCCATTTAACTAATACAACTATTCTATAAAATGCAGAATTTGGTAATCTGACCGATTTTATACAATTTTAAAAATTCCAATTTAAAACCAGCCCAAAATAAACATTGTAGACATTCCGGGCACACTTCCTCTGTTCATTTATCACATCCCCAGGTTTCTCTTACATTATACTTGCTTTCCATTCTGAATTCATCACACAAAAAATTCCAAATTTACCCTATTTTTTAGATAACAAAATATAACCAGGAATGATTGCTCATGGTTCACGGCATCCCAAGAATTGAATCAGACGAAGTAAAAGCCCATAAACCAGGCTAGGGGCTATAGGGAACTTCACCTGTCCTCAGGAAAATCAGCAAAGATCAAATATTTGTTACTTTGGAGTCAATTTTAAAGCACTTCCAGTCCCAGAAGCAAACAAAATAATTTCTATTTCAGTAGTATGCCTTCAATTTTATCAAAAGATACCAAGAAATGGCCAATAAATCCAGAGAAGCCATCCAAGAAAACACCTCCAAGGCAGTTGGCATTTTAAACCAAACACAAGGACAGTTTTTTGCATTTCCCATAATGCACATGGGACAGGATTATTTTTATACTGTGCACACTTACCACACACACACCCATTCTCTCATATCTGGGCCAAAATTTACCACTCTCAAATTATCTGAGTGTGCTGAGCTAAAGACAGATTTACATGAGGGACTTGAGCATTAATAACATAGATCTATGTAATGGACAGTGAAAAGATTAAACAGTGCAGAACTTAATACACTGCCTTGGAAGTGCCCAGTTGCACTTCTTTAGTTTCACTTTTGTATCCTTGAAATAAAGCAGCCAACTTTCTGTTTCTGAGATACCCAAGTATCCACTATAAAGGTAGACCATCAATATCTATTTTAGCTAGTTCAAATATATGACTTCTCTATTTGCAGCATCAAAAGCATTTTTAATACCAAGAGGAGCCATGTATTAGTGCCTTTTGTTGCTGTGTACAGTTAAAAATGTTGCAATACAATTTGATATACCTTTGCCATATGTGAATCCATTAATTCTGAATAGTAATCTATCACGCATTATCCTTGATACCACCAATCTCAGCAACTTTAACTACTTTCATTCTACTCACTGCCTCATACACCTCCCCCTCACCAACATCTTGCTTCTTTCTCCTAAAAGGGAAACTTAAACTTAAGATTATTAACAAAAATAATTTATGATAAAAAAAATTCACTGCATATCTAAGCTTTAAACATTATATAGTCTAGTAGTCATCTCCCCATTTCCCTAAAAAAAGTGTTCCATACCTGACTGCTTCATTGCTAATGGTAACAAGCTTGCTAAGAGAGACACACAGTGCAAGATGAAGTGCGTTCCCTCCTGTCTGCCGGGTCCTTAATGACGCAGCCCTAGCCCGCCCCAACAGCTCAAGAAGCCATGGGCTCAAGTGTGCTCCAAGAATGAGAGTTAACCTGGGATCAAGTAGACACCGTCCACAAGTCTGAAGCACAAATTCCAAATCATTCTGGTCCCACTTCTGAAAGAGGATATTACATACTGAGTAAGCAATTATACAAATTATTTTATGCTAATTACAGTGGACCCCCGCTTAACGATCACCTCCCAATGTGACCAATTATGTAAGTGTATTTATGTAAGTGCATTTGTACGTGTATATTTGGGGGTCTGAAATGGACTAATCTACTTCACAATATTCCTTATGGGAACAAATTCGGTCCTGACTGGCACCTGAACATACTTCTGGAATGAAAAAATATCGTTAACCGGGGGTCCACTGTATTGGTCTTCTACGGCAGAATATGAAACAGGTGTCATACTGATGAATTTTACAAAATAAGCTTCACTAATGTGATCACAAACTTTTAGGTTAGGTTGTGCACACACAAAATGGCACACACCAACGCTCGCACATACATTGTATACATACGTAGAGGTGTGAAAAACACCGTTGTGTATGGAATCGTGTTTCAAGGACATCCACAGATTGCAACAGTTCACAGAACAAGACCAGTGCCTGTATATATGTACACAAATATTACAACAGTAGTAATGTGAAACATTTGTACCTGTGTGTGTTTACATTTTGTGTAAATGGATTCTGTAAACTATGTACTGTAAACAATGTGTTGCCTAGATACTCAAGTGTTCCACATGTGTCCAATTTATCAACTTGTTGGTTCCCTGAACCATTTATCAACATTTGGGTATCTTCATTCTGGAATAAACATACCAGAGTAAAGATACAAAAGTGCTGCAAGCGTCTCATCTATCCACTAAAAAATATTTGCCCAACCTATTTTTTAATTCTCCTTACAGCCATTGCTGCTCTTCACCGTAAAGTTCATAACCCAGGTTTTAGCCGACTGTTGTGGGTTGCATCCTGGCTAGGTGCAAAAAATATACATATGCACATTTTTTGCACCTAGGCTGAAGAAGCCTTATCCACAAGCGAAACGTTTGAATGACATTTCCTCTCTGCAGTCGTCTTTCTACCTCAGCTCATGCCAGAGTCAGAGTCCTGTCTAAAATAAATAAATAAATAAATAAATAATATAATATATACATATATATATATATATATATATATATATATATATATATATATATATAATATATATATATATATATATATATATATATTATTTATTTATTTATTTATTTTGGACAGGACCCTGACTCTGGCATGAGATGAGGTAGAAAGACGACTGCAGAGAGGAAATGTCACCGAAACGTTTTTGCCTGTGGATAAGGCTTCTTCAGCCGAGGTAACTTAATGCTGAGGTAACTTAATGGTGTGGGTGGCATTCTGGGGGAGGTGAGTAAGTTTATTCCGGTAAACATAAATACAGTTATATAAATTATCATATATATAAAATATCATGAGGAACACTGCAGCAAGCCTACTTTGCATGATCATTTGTGTAACTGTGTATTAATGTGTACCTAGAACTATATAACCTTACTGCAGGTGCACATAAGTACAATTAAGTGTAAATTACCTAGGATAACCCCCAAAAAAGTCAATACACTTGCTAGTTAATAACTCTCAGCTAAGATGTGAGCCACGAGTTGTGTAACTCCTAGATATGTTTGCTAAGTGAAGAGGAGCAATATCTGCATGCTAGTAACTCCTAGATGTGCTAGGTGAACAGGGACGATAGCTTCAATGAAGAGGGTGAACAGGGACGATAGCTTCACATGAGGGGGTGAACAGGGATGACAGCTTCACATGAAGAGGGTGAACAGGGATGACAGCTTCACATGAAGAGGGTGAACAGGGATGACAGCTTCACATGAAAAGGGTGAACAGGGATGACAGCTTCACATGAAGAGTGAACAGGGATGACAGCTTCAACGAAGAGGGTGAACAGGGACGCCAGCTTCAACGAAGAGGGTGAACAGGGACGATAGCTTCAACGAAGAGGGTGAACAGGGACGATAGCTTCAACGAAGAGGGTGAACAGGGACGATAGCTTCAACGAAGAGGGTGAACAGGGACGACAGCTTCACACGAAGAGGGTGAACAGGGACGACATCTTCAACAAAGAGAGTGAACAGGGACGACAGCTTCACACGAAGAGGGTGAACAGGGACGACAGTTTCAAACGAAGAGGGTGAACATAGGATAATATTATAATGACTAGATGGAAGTGAAACTATCAATCTGCGACCAAATCAGATACCTTTTTAGCAATATGATGATCAAAGAGCTTGCGGCAGTCCTCACTGTCTTGCGAGAGTCGCAGCAGCTGCCTGCGTAAAGCATCAGCAACATCAACCATGATGCAGCATGGCAACCACTCTTATAAAACACTCACTACCACACGAGGGAGGATACTTGGCCTGGGAGTTGGGCTGATGGGTGTGAGTGTAGAGAGGACCACAAGGCCGTATGAACCCTAAACACTGGGGACTCTGAAAGGACTGATTCACGAGAGGTACGTTTTGAGACTCTCTGATCGAGGGTTTTAACCCGCCCGTGGTATGGTTAGTTAAGTTTATTTAGTCACAGTACACTTATCTTGCATAGTGTAAAGTATCTATAATACCCTCAACTTATTTTCATTGGGGTCCTTAAAATTTCGTATTATTTAAACCTTAGAAGTTAAAACACCTGAGTAACTCATCTGTGTAAAAATCTGTTATAATAAAAGGAGATGTACTAGGAAAAAGGTAAACTGAGTTATTTGCATTAACATTAAAGAGAGTACAAGCTTACAATTATATAGGTACATGAATATTAGTTATACAAGAAGTCACTCTCCTCCCTTTGTGTACCTTCATTCATTGGGTACTTCTTCCTGAACTGGCTCATATTTGGACATGCTTTGATATGTATAGGCAATCCGTTCCACTCCTTTATTAGTATACAATAAAAGGTGTTTGAAACCTGACCACCTACTTTGAGTACTAGAAAATTGTGCTCACTTCCCTTATTACCATACTTGTTTTGGTTCCCAACCTTAACAAACTTGGCAGCAAGATATTCTGCACACTGCTTGTGAGCAATTTTATAAACGTGATTTAACTTCCGTTACTTAACCCTGTCCTCAAAATTCAGCATATCCACTTATTGTAATTCATCCTCACCGACATGCTCTCTTGGATCCCAGGTCCAAGATGAATCTCACCATTTTGTTCTGGGTAATTTGTAGTTTGTCTTTCATTTTTTAAGGTAGAATACATGAAGAGCAAGAATAAACAAATATGTCACAGTAAGTACATGTACAAGGTATACAGTGTAGCTGACATCAAGCCACTAACCAGACTGAGAGTCGAAGATCAAAATTAATTTTTTTATGAGAGAGCCACAGAATTTGGTTAACACAAGCCTACTGATGTTATCCTGACCCCAAAATGACTTCGAACAGGCAAATAAAACGACATGCCCATGCACTCTGCCCCAGGGCCAGACTAAAGGAACTCCGTGTTCATCAAGAACTGCAAGAAGCCCTATCACGAGCCTTTACCGTCCTATGGAGGGGGAGCATGGACACGGGGGTCGTCCCACAGTTACTAAAAACAACAGACATAGCCCCACTCCACAAAGGGGGCGTAAAGCAAAAAGCAAAGAACTACAGACCATTAGCACTAACATCCCATATCATAAAAATCTTTGAAAGAGTCCTAAGAAGCAAGATCACCACCCATCTGAAACCCATCAGTTACACAACCCAGGGCAACATGGGTTTAGAACAGGTCGCTCCTGTCTGTCTCAACTATTGGATCACTACGACAAGGTCCTAGATGCACTAGAAGACAAAAAGAATGCAGATGTAATTTTACAGACTTTCCCAAAAGCCTTCGACAAGTGTGGACCATGGCTAATAGCGCACAAAATGCGTGCTAAGGAATAAAAAGGAAAAGTCGGTCGATGGATCTATAATTTCCTAAACTAACAAAAACACAGAGAGTAGTAGTCAACAGAGTAAAGTCGAGGCAGTACGGTGAAAAACTTTTGTTCCACAAAGGGACAGTACTCGCTCCATCTTGTTCCTTATCCTCATATCTGACATAGACAAGGATGTCAGCCCCAGCACCGTGTTTCCTTTGCAGATGACACCCGAATCTGCATGACAGTGTCTTCCATTGCAGACACTGCAAGGCTCCAGGCGGACATAAAACCAAATCTTTCAGGTGGGTGCAGAAGAAAACAATATGAAGCTCAACGATAAGAAATTTCAATTACTCAGATATGGTAAACACGAGGAAATTAAATCTTCATCAGAGTACAAAAACAAATTCTGGCCACAAAATAGAGCGAAAAAACAAACGTCAAAGACCTGGGAGTGATCATGTCGGAGGATCTTCCTTCAAGGACCATAAAAATTGTATCAATCGCATTGCTGAAAAAAGACAGGATGGGGTAATGAGAACCTTCAAACGAGGGCTGCCAAGCCCATGATGACACTCTTCAGGTCACTTGTTCTATCTAGGCTGGAATATTGCTGCACACTAACAGCACCTTTCAAGGCAGGTGAAATTGCTGACCTAGAAAATGTACAGAGAACCTTCACGGCGCGCATAACGGAGATAAAAACACCTCAATTCTGGGAGCGCCCTTTAGGTTCCTGAACCTGTATTCCCTGGAATGCAGGCGGGAGAGATACATGATTATATACCCCTGGAAAACCCTAGAGGGACTAGTACCAAACTTGCACACAAAAAATATACTACAAAAGAAAAAAGACTTGGCAGCGATGCAACATCCCCCCAATGAAAAGGGGGGGTGTCATAGCACGTTTAAGAGACCATACAATAAGTGTCGGGGGCCCCGAGACTGTTAATGCCCCCCAGCACCTAAGGGGGATTACCAAAGCCCCCTGGCAGTCTTAAAGCTGGATGGACAAGCACCTTAAAGTGGTTTCCCTGATCACCCGGGTGTGGCTCGTACTTTGGGTTTGGTGCGCCAGCGGGTAACGCCGGGTTTGATCGGCTCTGATCCACCAGGAGGCCTGGTCACAGCCCGGGCCGGGGGGGGCGTTGACCCCCGGGAAAATCTTCCAGGTAAACCCCAGGTAATATGCCAATACGATAAAATACACATTTTTCTGTCTCGTTCAGGTTTTTGCATTAAACATAATGACGAAAGGTGTGTAATTGTCCATGGGGAAAAGGTTTCATTTGTTTGACAAAGCTAAAGATTAAAACTAAACAAATATTAAAATTAGGGGGATGTCGAGTCTAATTTTGGTTCCTAAAACAGAAGTTTTTTAAACATTATCAGAAAGAACTAGAAAAAACGAGGTTGAAGAAAAAGCTGAACAGGAAATACAGGAACTAGCAGATCCATTATCATCATTATAAAATGTGTCTAGTCAAGCATAATGGAGAAAAGCAAAGGTCAATAGGGAAGATGATTTACTGCTACGGTTAAAGTTTCTTAGCAGTACGGTTTATATGGAGAAGTCAATGCATAAAACATCAGTGTTGACAAGACAGGGCCACTAGGGAACATAATAGAGTTACCAAACATTAACCCTTTCGAGACAATACAACATGTATGAAAAAGGGCCCCTCTTTAAATATTTTGAAAACTTGAGGTTTTTATTTACATTTTAAAAGACTAGATGAACTGTGTGAAAGGACTACAACCCGATAAAAAATTTTTTTTTTTTTTTGGGAATAAGGAATTATTTTTTGGATTTGGGTTTTTTTTATTTTATGTGTACAACTATACAGAAAATGTAAAAAAGAGGAAAAACCTGGGTTTACGGAGAGAGTTCCGGGGGTCAACGCCCCCGCGGCCCCCGGGCTGTGACCAGGCCCCCTGGTGGCAGAGCCTGTCAACCAGGTGTTGCTGCTGGCTGCACGCAAACCAAAGTAAGACCCAAACCCCGGGTGGTCGGAAACCCCCTTTAGGTGCTTGTCCAGTGCCAGCTTGAAAGCCAGGGGTCGTTGGTAATCCCCTTATGTATGCTGGGAGGCAGTTGAACAGTTGGGCCCCCCCACTTTTTGTATGGTCTCTTAACGTGCTAGTGACACCCCTTTCTTTTCATTGGGGGGGTGTTGCATCGTTGCCAAGTCTTTTTTCTTTCTTTTGTGAGTGATTTTCGTGTGCAAGTTCGGGACTAGTCCTCTGGATTTTCCAGGTGTATTTTAAAATGTATCTCTCCCGCCTGGTTCCAGGGAATCAGGTTCAGGAACCCCAAGCGCTCCCAGTAATTAGGTGTTTTATCTCCGTTATGCGCGCCCTGAAGGTTTCTGTACATTTTCTAGGTCAGCAATTTCACTGCCTTGAAAGGTGCTGTTGTGTGCAGCAAAATTCCCGCTAGATAAAACAAGTGCCTGAAGAGTGTCTCTGGGTTGGTCCCTGTTTTTAGGTTCTCATTTCCCTCCCCGTATTTTTTAGCAGATGCGAGTGTACAATGTTTGGTCCTTGAAGGGGAAGATCCTCCGACATGATCACCCCAGGTCTTTGACGTTGGTGTTTCGCTTTTTTTGTGGAGAATTTTTTTTGTCTCTGTGAAGATTTAATTTCCTGTGTTTACCATATTGGAATTGAAAAAATTTCCATCGTTTAAAAAATTTATATTGTTTTTGCAGCCCACTGAAAGATTCGGTTGATGTCCGCCTGGAGCCTTGCAGTGTCTGCAATGAAAGACACTGTCATGCAGATTCGGGTGTCATCTGCAAAGGAAGACACGGTGCTGTGGCTGACATCCTTGTCTATGTCGGATATGAGGATGAGGAACAAGATGGGAGCGAGTACTGTGCCTTGTGGAACAGAGCTTTTCACCGTAGCTGCCTCGGACTTTACTCTGTTGACGACTACTCTCTGTGTTCTGTTAGTGAGGAAATTATAGATCCATCGACCAACTTTTCCTGTTATCCCTTTAGCATGCATTTTGTGAGCTATTACGCCATGGTCACACTTGTCGAAGGCTTTTGCAAAGTCTGTATATATTACATCTGCATTCTTTTTATCTTCTAGTGCATTTAGGACCTTGTCGTAGTGATCCAATAGTTGAGACAGACAGGAGCGACCTGTTCTAAACCCATGTTGCCCTGGGTTGTGTAACTGATGGGTTTCTAGATGGGTGGTGATCTTGCTTCTTAGGACCCTTTAAAAGATTTTTATGATATGGGATGTTAGTGCTATCGGTCTGTAGTTCTTTGCTGTTGCTTTACTGCCCCCTTCGTGGAGTGGGGCTATGTCTGTTGTTTTTAGTAACTGTGGGACGACCCCCGTGTCCATGCTCCCTCTCCATAGGATGGAAAAGGCTCGTGATAGGGGCTTCTTGCAGTTCTTGATGAACACGGAGTTCCATGAGTCTGGCCCTGGGGCAGAGTGCATGGGCATGTCATTT